TGTATCGATTCAAATGGTTCTATTGATTTTGAACGGTTCAACCACTTCATCAGTTCTAAATATTGACCCGATTCGTTTATAGTACTGGGTGCTGATCCGATCGGTTCAACCAATCGATCTGATTTTTAAAACAGTGGGCTCATATGTGCCTATAAAAGAGGTTGAGGGAATTGAGGGGCCAAAGATAGAAATTGAATGGGATGATGAAGACTTGGAGATGGTCAAGATTAACAACAAAGCAATCAACATGCTTCAATGTGCTCTCAATTCAATGGAATTTAATAGAACATTCGACTGTGATATGGTAAAAGAGATTTGGGACATGTTGGAGACAACACATGAAGGAATAAATCAAGTGGAGTTAAATATCAACAGACTCATTCATAAGTATGAGCTCTTTAAGATGAAGCTAAAAGAGAGCATTTAAGACATATACACACGATTCAATGATATAGTCATCAATCTCAAAGCTTTTGGAAGGGTATATCCTACTAAAGAATTGGAGAGGAAGATCCTTAAAAGCTTGCCTTAGAGTTGGGAAGCCAAGAAAACCACAATTGAAGAGGCTAAAAATCTTAACACTGTCAAGGTTGATGCACTAATTGGATCCTTGATGACATATGAGATTAATAGGCAAAATGATGTTGAAGTTGAGGTTGTTGAGAAGAAGAAGAATATTGCATTCAAGGCTAGCAAACAAAAAGATGAAAGTGAAGTGAAGATGATGCTAGTGATAGTGAAGACACCTCCACCTTGGACTTTAAAGAAGTAGGAAGATTCATGAAGAAAAAGATCTTTTAGAGTAAACTTACAAAAAGGGATGAAAGAGAGTCTAACAAAAAGAATGTGAAGTACTACGAATGCAATAAGATGGGGAACGATAGAAATGAATGTCCTCAATTGAAGAAGGATAAAAGAAAAAACAAGAAGGGCATGAAGAAGAAAGCTTTTGTCCCCACTTAGAGTGATGATGAGACTAGCTCAACTGAAAGTGAGATCTCTTTGAAGAATGGTGTTGCAAATCTTTATTTTATGGCTCAAGAAGATGGCAACAATGATACAAAGGTAAACACTAACTTCTCTAATTCAATTAATGAAAGTTCTTTTGAGTAGTCTTATGATGATTTATACAAAGTTCTTGATTGCTTTATCAATGATATTAAGAAATTAGGAAATGAGAATCTTACTCTTACTAAAACTATTTCATTGCTTAAAAATAAGATTGAATCTTTTTCAAAACAAAATGAGGTTTTAGTTAAAGAGAGTGCCTCATTCCTCATTAAATGTTAAGATTGCATCTTTAAAGGATGAGGAATCTAATAATACCTTGAAAAAGGAAAATGAGAATTTGAAAAGGAAAGTTTGTGATCTTGAGATTGTGATTTCCAAATTCACTTTGAATAAGGAAAAATTTGATTCTATCTTGAGTTCTTAAAGAAGTGTTTTCGACAAAGGGGTCATTGGATTTGATTATTTTAAAAAGCAAATGACTTTTAAGAACTTCTTTGTAAGAGCAAATTAATTCTCTAATCCTAAAGTTACTTCCTGTTGCTATGATGTAAAATTACACTTTGCCTATGTATGTCCTTTTAAGGGATTGATAGTTCAAGGCAAAGTGAAGCAAATTTGGGTTCCCAAAAGAACTATAAGCACTAACCCCCAAAGACCTAAGCAAATTTGGGTACCTGAGATCAAAAATTGATTATTGTTGTGTAGGTGTGCCTTGTGAGCAAAATGAAGGACAAATGGTATTTAGATAATGGATGCTTAAGGCACATGACAAGTGATCCTTCACAATTCTCATCACTCATGCCTTTAAATGGAGGAACAATGACTTTTGGTGACAATGGGAGAGGAATTGTGAAAGGAATTGGTAAAATTGGTAACAAATCTATTTCTTTTGATGATATTTGGTATGTGGATGGATTGAAACATAACTTGCTTAGTATTAGTCAATTGTGTGATCCTATGCTTAGTGTTGTGTTTTCTAAATCTCATTGCAAGATTATTGATTCTAGAGATGATAGTGTTGTTTGTTCACAAGAGGCTTAAGAATGTATATGTGATTGATTTGCATGACATAGATGCTAATGTTTGTCTTACTTCCATTTCTTATGTTGGTACTTGGTTATGGCATAGAAGATTAAGACATGCTAGCATGAGTATTATTTCTAAGTTGTTAAAGCATGATCTTGTTAATGGTTTGCCTAAAGTGAATGTGAATGTTGATGGTGTGTGTGATGCATGCATGAAGGGTAAGCAAACTAGAGTTTCCTTTAAGGCAAAGAAGTGCATTTCTACAAACAAACCACATGAGTTCACATGGATTTGTTTGGACCTATGCGCACTTTGACTATTAGAGGAAAATCATATGTGCTTGTTGTGGTTAACAATTACTCTAAATTTACATGGGTAGCTTTCCTTGCACACAAGGAAGATTCACTTGATGCTTTCAAAAGTCTTTATAAAAAAGCTTCAAAATGAGAAAGGTTTACCTATTGTTTCTATTAGAAGTAATCATAGGGGAGAATTTGAAAATAATGATTTTAAGGATTTTTGCATTAAAAATGGTATTAATCATAACTTTTCTGCCCCTAGAACTCCTCAACAAAATAGGGTGGTTGAATAGAAAAATCATACCATTGAGGAAATGGCAAGAACTATGCTTTGTGAGAATGAATTGCCAAAAATCCCTTTGGGCCAAAGCCATTTTAACCTCTTGTTATTTGTTAAATAAAGTTATAGTTAGGCCTATTTTAACAACCCCCCCCCCCC